ATATAGTATATTAATATGTATAACTAAAATTACTAATAAAGATATGAGCAAGGCCTTATCTTAATATCAAAAAAAAAAAAACATATATATATTAAATTTAATATTTACTTTTTTACTTGATGTTACTTTTAATACCAAATTCAAAAGCAAAATGAAAGAAGATAATTATTATTATCTCAATAAGCCTAATGAAGCTTTCAAAAGTATAAATAAAAAAGTTTTAAAGAACTAAAGACATGTATTAAATGTTGAATCCAAATTTCTTTTGTGACTAAAATAAAAAATGATAAAAAACAAAAAAATAATATAGGCAAAAATCAAGAAACTGCAGTTGCATCTGAAATGCTTGTAGATTATATACTTAAAACTCTTCTAACTAACTATGATCTAGATAATTATTTATTTAAAACAAGGTTTTTTGTAACATTAGATCTATTAATAAATTATATTAATATAAATTTAGAGAATCAAGATAAGGAAATTGCTTAGATTTTAATTAATTGTATTTCTAAAGCTGATTGTTTCTCTTGGATTTATTACAAATATGAACTAATAAAGAATGCAATATTATTTGTTTATTATTGTAACAGTAGAGAAGAACTAAAAAATAAAAAACCATGTATTGATAATATGTTGAAACAACATAATTCAACTGCTTGAATATATTGTTATGATTGTAAAAATACAATTCAGATGAATATTGACTGAACAAATAATTTAATTACAATTAATATCTATCATTATCTTCACTTTTTACCTAAAGCAACAGATGTTATACCACAAGTATGTAAATATATTGTCAAGAATCACTTATTATCAGTTTTACAACTCTATGAAAATATCAAAAAAGAAAAAATTAATAAGTTCTTACATCTTACTCAGCATCAAATATATTACTAGTTCAAAAAATTTTCTATAAATGTATATAAATTGACAGATAATTAATTAGAATCAGTTTAATAATATTTAAATAATCATTTAGATTTTAAAGTTCTTTTTCAGAATGGTTATTTATTAGCTTTTTTAACACTATTATTATTTATATTACTGTAATATATTACAAATACAGTTGTTATTAATACTATATATGAAACAAAATAATCAAAATTTGAGTTATACAAAGTTCTTGGAATTATTAATAGTTCTGGATTTCTGTTGTTTTATTTTTTTTTAGATTCAAAAAGTTAACAAAACAGAATACAAGTATTAATAAAATGGTTTGATAATTTGAAAGAAAATAGAATATAAAAAATTAGAACTTTTTTAACTAATAAGAATAGTAATTAAATTATAACAATTAATAGAATTTAAACTAATATGAAAGTTCAACTATGTTATTAGTATGCAATATGGGCTATTAAAAAAGACTATCAAGTACTGAGATTATATATAATTCTTATAATGCAAATGAAGTATACAAATTATATTTATTTATTAATCCAAGCTGGCAACCTGTTTATGAATTTGTTGATAATAATAAAAATAAAATTTTTTGTCAAAAAAATTTTCATGAAAATATTCTTCAAATATTTTGCATCTATTTTTCAAAACACCTAATAATTCTTATAGAAAATTTAAGATTTTTAAATACTAAAAAAATTTGTTACTAGTATTAAAGAAAAATTTAATTATTGCTATCAAAATAATCTTGCTTACATGTAGATATATTTGTATACAGAATAATACTATCCTAAAATGTAAAAACTTTGAACATATACAACAAATCTGAAAATTAATATATTATGAAGTACTATAACTATTAAAAGCTATTGACAAGTTTTAAAACATAATTTTTTTTAAACTTTAATAATATATGATTAGACTTGATTATTTATATTATTATTTCTAAAGTTATTCCTCATCAAGCTGACTGATTGCAATTATTATATGATAGATAATATATACAAAAGTTATATAAAGTATTTTAGTTTGAATAGAAAAAATTATCAAATAAAATAATTATTAATAATCCTAATCATATTATAGATCCTTCATATTGGATTTATTAATGTTCAAGTTTTCTTATAAACCAGTTTTATATTTGTAAGCATTTAGTGCAAATATGTAATCTTATAAATTTAGATTTTTTAAGAAAATAAGATTTAGATTTTTTAAGAAAGTAAAATTTGATATAAGTTTTATTTTTTTTTTAAAAAAAAAAATATTGGTATTGTTATTATATATAAATGCAGTACAGTATATAATTAATTAATTTTAATAATTATCAATTAGATAATGTAATAAGAATCATATCTCCTTCTTAAAATTAAAGAAAAAAAATACTTTTTTTGAATTACCAAAAAATATTTATATCGCAATCCAAAGTCTTAACATCAATATTAAGTCTCAAGAATTAAATATTAATAATAATAATCAAGAAACTTTAAGTCAAATACAAGAACAAGAATTTGTTGATATAAACAAAAATGATATTATCAATATTGATGATCATGAAAATATTATTAATATTGATGATTAAGAAAGTTTTCATAAGTGAAAACAGGAAATTTTTGAGTTATTGGATTCAACAAAAAAATTCTTGAAGAAAACACAATGAACCTGAATGGAAATAAATGGCTTGATAATATAGACAAAAACTTTGAATCCATGTGTAAATTTGTTGAGAATTGTAATAAGTTTAAAAGGCAAAGACATGTTTCAAAAACATGGAAAAATCGTAATCATAATACATTCTGGTTGCAATAATGACAATGTAAAAATAACATTAGATAATTATTACCATACATAGTTGTATTTACTAATTTGTTTCGTTCATTTCATTGTTCGAAAATGCTAAAAAAATTCAGTAATCGCCATTACTTGTACGTATAGTACATGTAGTACATGTATATTATTCACGTGATCCGAAAAAAATTTGAGTGGTGAATTTACCCCGGTAGGCAGTTCCAATCCCTACTTAAGACTTAATACAATATTACTACGTATATATAGATAAAACAACAATTCAATTACTATATTGTTAAAGAATCAAAATGTTAATAAAACTTAGTAGAATATAAATATATTAAACTACAACTATTTACCAACTACAGTTACACAAATGACAATCGAAAACATAATCAAACAATATTGCTGAAGTAACACCTAATCATCTTCCCAACCCACACGTGATCAAAAATAAAAATTTTAAAGTTCATATACGTTAGGGTTAGGGTTTATATCAAGGTTAGAGGTTAGAGTAGTATATTGTAAAATCGCTCAAAGAAAACTTATTGTTAATGCGCAGAAAGCAGTTGCATATGCTATTTTTTGAGAAATACCCGATTTATATTAACACTTTTATTTCATATTTATTTCTATCAGATAGTTGAACTTTAAGTTCTTCAATTGCAATCAGATTTGAAATTATTTGCCGGAAACATGTATAACCTTTGTCTACGCAGTATATTTTGACGAAATAGTAACATTTATGCAACATGCTATAAGAAATCGTTAAATAATGAATCGCTTTAAACTAATATATATAATTTATTTTAGCAGATACGTTGAAATCATTATGACACTGTAGCAAATGATTAGTAATAGTAACCATTAAAATTGATTATCTATAAGTACCCAAAATCACAATCTGTTAACGTGTAGCTCCACTTATATATACTTGCGATGATAATTCCTTTAAAAACATCTTCTATAGTTAATATTGTCCACATTCTGTTATGACTACAGGCAATTTTGGTCGATTTCCAGGCCCAGTGGAAACATTTTCTATTTTTCTCAGCGTTAGCAAACCATCAATGAGCTTTCCAAAAACAACATGTTTTCCATCTAAGAAGTCGCACTTAGCGCATGTTATGAAAAACTTGGAATATATAATAATTAGTTTTTTTGGTTTGCAAAAGATTGTTAATACAAAATAATAAAAGTAAAGTAATAATAATCGTAATCATAAATATTATTAATATTAATAATGTTTAAATATAAAGATATCAAATTATATACCTGGCATCCATTTGTACTTGGACCGCTATTTGCCTATGAAAATAATTATTTTAATTGAATATATATATTGAGTTTGCAATATGAAAGTAATTTAACTAACCATCGAGAGAAGACCAGGTCCAGTATGCTTAAGCTCAAAGTTCTCGTCAGGGAACTTTTCTCCATATATACTAAATGAACCAGTCCCATCAGTCTATTATCAAGTTGAAGATCTTGTTAACTAGAATTCTGCCAATTTTTTCGTTAAAAATACTTTACCTTTACGAAATCGCCACCTTGAACCATAAAATCCTTAATTACCCTATAATTGTGAAGATGTTTTTTTTTTAATTTGATGTAATTGATAAATTGTTCAATTTAATTATCTATCATCGGTGCCTACCTATGAAAAGTTGCGGATTTGTAACCTTGTGGTACACCATTTTTCCTGTATTGACTACTAGATCAGTAAAATTTTTAAAATCTAATTCACAATTAAAAGAGGACAACTTACTTGTACTCTCCTGTGCATAACTGCCTAAGTGAAATAAAATGAAAAGTATATATTTAATGTTATGCAAAGCAAGAACGAAACGAAAAATATAATACCTAAAATTTTCAGCGGTTTTAGGAACTACATCAGCAAATAATTCTATTTTCATTCTACCGGCTGGTTGACCACCAATAGATATATCAAAAAATACTATGGGATTTTCTTTTTCCATGATGCAATTCCGTTTGCAAGCAAATTCAAATTTCTGATAAAACCAGCATGGAGGATTTTCCGTAATAATTAACCAATCAAAATAAGCATGACGGACATTCGATTTGATTGGCTTGAAGATCACTGAGTTACATAACATAAAAAAAATTTTTAAAGTAACTCTTACTATAAAAAAACCATATTGTCAATTGGCTAGGAATTTTTTGTTCAGTATAGATAAATTTGGTATATTGTTTTTTTTTTATACCGAATATGTATAAAAGGTTCGTTATAAATAACTGACCAATAAAATTTATTCACGTGATTATATGTATCATTTAAGGAATCCCTATAGTTTTAACTTTACTTACTAAATACTAAATGATTTAATATTTTATAAGTATAATAATAAATCTCTTAAAATTTTAATGTTATATACATAATCAAATGCTTACAATTTATAAAAAAACTATTTTAAAATTTTAGTTTATAAAGTAGCAACCAAGTTTTATCTGCTTAAGATTCTTAATAAAATTTAGTTTAACTCTTTTATACAAACTTCTTAAAATTCTTATTTCATCTTTAATTACCAAAATTTGCTTTCTGCTTAAGCAAAAATCTTAAAACTATGTTTACAGTTTTTTCTGTTTCATTACTATTAACTTTTTCTAATTTATTAATTTTACTATTAACAGATTTATTTTCTTCTTCATTCTTATTAGTTATTGTTTTCAAATTTCCTCATTTGCAATTTCATCTTCAATTTCATTATCTTTAATATGAATATATTCATTAGTATTAAGAAAGTTATTGATTAGCAGATGAGTAATTAATAATCCAAGTTTCTTTTTCAAGTTTTATTCTTCTTGGTTAGTAATAATTGTATTTTTTTATTTTTATTAATCTTAAGTAAAAAAATACCAGTTTTTTTTTAACAATTTACAATTGTTTCAAATAATATTATTGATTATATTTCTGTTACATTAAGCAATATATTGTAAATATTATATTTTTTTAATTCTTTTACATAACTATTTAGAAAATTATTATAAATTTTGATCTAATTTTATACAAAAAAGTATTTGTAATAATATTTAAATGAATAAATAATAACAACTCTTTCTGATAATTACCTGGACCAAGTTGGCACCAAAAGTAGATTGAAGACTCTGGTTCCAAAGTGGATAATATTCTTAGTTTTACATTAAGTAAACTTGTTATTGACAAAGCTCAAGTATGTGATACACTGAGGAGTGGGCAAAACTTGAGTAGTTTTTGTCTTGGGTCAAACTTTTTGTTTGATGAACTCTCTTGCATATTCAGCATCCAAACTGAAAGGATATTCTAAAAGCAAGTAGAGTCAAAATCAGTTCTCTGATTAAGAATATTAGAAGCAGAAGAAAAAGAAGAACAACTAGGAAAACTCTCCTTAACTTGGATCCTTGCAACAACATTATACTTTTTTTTCATTTTTTTTTTGTTTTCTTTTTTCGAAAAGTAGAAATTTGACTCACCTCTATCAAAAGATCAATATTGTGTATCATTTCCTTTTACGATTATGTACTTGTTTAGACATGATGAATAAGAAACACAACAAATATGTGAGTCAGCCAATCATGTAGAGCAGATCAGAAAAGGATTTAATTCAGAAAAACCAAAAATATATTAAAATATACATATATTCTGAGGCCATGTGCATAATATTTTTTTAAAAAAAAAGAGTTATAAGGATTTATAAAGAATTAGACCACTTAAGTACAATTCAAATCTTGGCACAGTACCCTATTTACTTGAAGATTTCTCTTATATAGAAAGTGTTTGCTTAAACTCTGTTCTACAAGTGAATATAGTTTTCATTCTGGTTAAGAGTATCTAGTTTTTAGAGAATAGCTATAGTTCATAAAAATATGAAAACATTATAGTGAGCAATAATCGTAGAATAGAATTTTATCCTGTTAGCAAGTTTTCTCTTTTATTCTCCTTATAGATTGGTTTTGTTTTCTTTTTATTTAGTTTTATTTTACTCTTTATTTTCGTTCCTCTCTTTCCTAACTTTAAAATTTTTTTTTTTTTGTTTTTCTCTTTCCTATAAGAAGATGTTTTCAGATTGGCAGTATCCTATTGTAGGGTAGGATCAGATGAGTTGTAATTTCTAGTTCTAACTAAATTAGTGTAGCAGATTACATTTAGGTATTATTTGAATGCCTAGATGATAGTAGACTTTTTTTTTTTTTTTTTTTTATTTTTTTTTCTTTTTGTCTTCTTTGTTTTGTTTTTTTTTAGATTTTTTCACCTTTTTTCAATAATTTACTATA